CAGTTTTAAATTCGTCTATGAAATCATGAAGGTATTTCTTTATGTCCGCTGGAGCTATATCTAATACTGCATTATTATTGCACTGTTTATCTTCTGTATTTATCTCTCCTGGGCTGATTTTTCCAGGGTCAGCAGCTGGAGGTTTTTTTTATTTCTATCTCTGGTCATGTTTCTGGTTTCTTTCAGACAGGTATGTCCGGGGAGTCTCTGGCCCTCTCCGTATTGCTTAGGGTCTTTCCGAAGCATGCTGACTGAGGTTTTGCTGTCCTCCCCAAATTGCTGTTACCTGAGATCTCTTAAACTCCCTCCCAGGGGCTTGGGATGGTACGGGGACACTCACCCCAGGCAGCCAAGTCCAGAGTTCAAGGCACAGGCAGACAGGCCCAATTCCCCAAAGCTGGTTGATCACAGCAGGATCTGTATTTTTGATTATTGTCTGTAAAGGTGTTTTCAGAAGCAGCTTCTCTGGGCTCCATTCATGGCAGTGGCTCTGTGGGGTTCCATTCACATGGGCCTGACAGCAGTGAAGACACACCCACCCACCTGGGGACCTAGGGAGCAATCCGGCAGTGGGGGCCCACTCAGTGTGGGTGCCATGGGCTCGGGTCCTTGCACAAGCTGCGAGTGTGAAGGTGGAGATGCATCCCAACAGGTCCAGTTCCATGCCCGTGACACTACAACACACCGTTCTCCTCACGCCCTCCAGGACGGACCTAGATCTGGGGAGGTGGCTGAGGGAGCGGAGATGGTGTCAGCGGCGGCTCCATGGGGCTCTGGTCACAGAGGCCTGGTGGCGACAAAGACACACTTGCCTACCTGGGGACTTCAGGGCGCTCTGGTGGAAGGGGCCTGCTCAATGCCGATGCCACAGGCTCGGGTCCTCAAGGGAGTGGCGAGTACGAAGGTGGCAATGCGTCCCAGCAATGCGGTCCCAAGCCCACGGGGCCGCAACCTGCCCTCTTCCTCGTGCCCTCCTGGACGTGGCCCGGATGTAGGGAGGTGGCAGTTGTGGCAGTGGGCACCGAGTTGTGAAGTGAAATTATTATTTACAGATTACATGATACTCTACATAAAAAAACCCAAAAACCTCACCAAAAGACTTTTAGATTTAATAACTGAATTCAGTTGCTTAGCAGGATATAAAGTCAACACTAAAAATATCAACACAATTCCCATACACAAACATCAAATGCACTGAGAAAAAGTAGAGGAATAGCACCTTTCAAAATAGCATTGAAAAAAAGGAAACACTGAGCAGTCAATCTAACAAAGATGTAAAATATCTCTACATTGAAAACTGCAGTACTCTGAAAAAGGAGATCAAAGAGGATTTCAGGAAATGGGAAGATATCCCTTGCCCTTGGGGAGAAAGGAGCAACATAGAACAAATTTGACCATACTCCCAAAATTGCTATACATAATAAATGCAATGTCAACAAAAATAACATTTGCATACCTCACAGAACTACAGAATACATTCCTAAATTTCATTGGGACCAGAAGAGACTAGAACAGCAAAAACAATCCTGGGAAACAATGGCAAGGCAAGGGGCATCACATTCTCTGACTTGAAATTATATTACAAAGCTACTAAAATAAAAACAGCATGGTACTGGCAAAAATAAAGACCCAAGGATGAAAAGAACAGATTAAAAGATGCAGAAACAACTACAAACACATTCAGATACGTATCTTTGAAAAAGGTGCAAACACCTTCACTGGAAGAAAGAAAGTCTCTTTAAAAAATGGTTCTGGAAAAACTGGCTTTCCATAGGTCAAAAACTAAAACTATAATCATGTCTCTCATCATGCACTAAACTAAAATCAAAATGGATCGAAGATCTAAATATTAAGATAGAAACACTAAATCCATTTCAAGAGAAAAAAGGTAGAACTCTTGAAGATACAGTTATAAACAAATACCTTATAAATAAAACCCTGATCACACAGTAATTATCATAAAGAATTAACAACTGGGATCTCATCTTACCAAGAAGCATTTGCACAGCAATAGAAAGTACCAACAGCCTGAAGTGGTAACTGGCAATGTCGGAAAAAGTTTTTTTTACAGCTGTTCCTCAACAAAAGACTAATATCTAGAATATACAAGGGACTCAAAAAAATCATACCCCCAAAATTTAAAGAGCCAATCCAAAAATAGGCATCTGAGATGCATATATACATCTCAGAGAAAGAAATGTAAATGGCAAATAAATGTATAAAAAAATGTTCAACCTCACTGATCATTCAACAGATGCAAAGTAAAACAGTGTTGAGATTCCATCTCACTACAGAAAGAATGGTAATTATCAAGAAATCAAACAATAATAAATGATGGAAGGGATGTCAATATAAAGAACGCCTTTAAATTTTCTGGAGGTATAGACTGATGCAACCACTGTGGAAATCTGTGTGGGGATTCTTCAAAAAACTAGGACTGGAGGTTCCATTTGACCCAACTATTCTCTTCTTGGGTGTCTTCCCAAAAGAATTAAAAGCACATATCATAGCGATGTATGTCCACCCATGTTTACTGCAGCATAGTTTGTAATAGCTAAATCTGGGAAACTACCCAAGTGCCTATCAATGAAGGAACGAATAAAACAGATGTGGTTTTTTATACAACAGAGTACTACCCAGCCATGAAGGATCAGCTTGAGATATTTCTAAGTAAATGGATGCACCTTGAGCCATATTCTGAAGTGAAATAAATCATATATACACATGTAAATACTGCATTATTGCTTTGTTTGAAAAGCCAAAAGTATACATAAGGACAATGTGTGTGACACGTATAAAGTAGTAAGAAAATATTCAAATGTGGAGGCATTTTAATAGCTTTAAAATCTACTTTGTGTTCCAATTTTCATTTTAAAAATCTATAAATATTTATTACATTTATTCTATGTTTAAAATTCCCACTTATCAGTTATATCTCTTAATGGCTAACTAGTTATTAGTGCACTGTAGGGAAGTTGTTAATTCACATAATTATTTTGTAGCCTACCATCATACTGAATTTCTTATCATTTTTAATAGCTTTTAAATGGATTCCATTTAGTTTTCTGAGTAGGCAATCACATTATCCATATGTAAATCTACCACTATCTTTAAAATATTTGTTTTTCTGGTTTTATTGTACTGAATAGGAGTAACATAGCAAGGTAAAGAAAAGGTATTATATCTGAAATAAAAGCAACAAAACAGAAACAAAGTCTTGTAAATAAGGAGGGAAAGAAGGGGTTGAAGGGAGAGGAGGGTGTTAGGGGGAAAAAGAGGGACCAGGACATTTCTTGTACAGTATGAATTCCATATGATGAATGATTATTACATGTATCTAAATTTTACCAATAAACTTAATTTTAAAAAACAATAGAAATCTACCCAGGCATGGTGATACATGCCTGTTATGTCAGCACTTTGGAGACTGAGGCAAAAGGACTGTGAATTCAAGACCAGCAGAGGCTATGTAGTGAATTCAAGGAGAACCTAGGCTACAAAGTACAATCCTTTCTCAAAAAATCAAAAAGAAACAATGAAAATAAAAAAGGAAAATCAAATAGATACTAGAGCAGGTATGAAAACATGATAAATGAAATAAACTGGTACAATTGATACGAGGTACCTAATTCATAGACTTAAAGTATTTGAAATTACCAAGTCATAGAGGGAAGAAGTTATGGGCAATTACTTTTTAGTGGGAATTGATTTTGAGTTTGCTATAATGAAACAATTCTGGAGATAGGTATTAGTAACTATTGTACAGCAGTGTGAATGCACTTAATGAACTTGAACTATACATTTATAAATGACAAAATGATAAATCTGAAATTATGGATCTTTACTATAGGTTTTTAAAAATCTAATTGTAGCTTGTCAGTATGAACACTAAGAATGTTCTAGAACAGTCATAATTAAACAAGTTTTACTTTAGTGGCTTTATACATCCTCAAGTATGTAACACTAAATCTTGATAGTAAACTCATTAAAAGGGGGGTCAAGGAAACATTACTAGAAATGATTTCTATAAACAACAAAACACTTTTATTAAACATCATCAGTTAGAAGATACAAAAATCAAAAGATGAACTCAGCAATTGCAGTCTAAAATTTTCCAAGGCTCAAAGGTATCTGAGGGCTGCAGATATAGTTCAGTGGTACAAGTGTCTTCCTGGCAAGGGCAAGGTTGTGAGTTCAATCCCTGGTACCAAAAAAATAAAAAGGTAACTGAAAGTGAAGACTAGAAGGAGTTGTCCACTATTTCTCTGGTATGAGAAACTGTAAGTGTAAATACGGACCAAAATGTATAATAGGTATTGTGAAATAGGAAGAAAAATGTTCAAATGGGGAGGGAAACGAAGGAGAGGAGAGGGAAAACGTAAGAAGGGAATAGTAAAAAGAATGATCAAAGAAGTAACACATGGAAACAAAACTTTTGTAAATTCGTAGGGGAAGAGGGGGTGAAGGGAACATAGGGGAATGGGGAAAAAACAACTTATATCATGAAGACATGCAAATTCTCTGTGAATGTGAACATTATGTACATCTAAAATGTACCAATAAAATATGAATTAAAAAATAAATAAAAGTTGCCCATAAGAAAAACATAAATAATGATACAAAAATATAAATTCCTACTTAAAAGTATCCATATTAGTTTTACCACTACTGTGATACAAGGATATATGATCAAATAAAATACATCTATTCTAAACTGTTAACAATTGAGTTAACTAGTAGTGTTCAACTGACTGTTAAATTGACGGCTGAAGGTGATAAAAGCCTGTCACAACAAACATACACCCACACACACACATATAATTCAGTACATGGTATCACCATCTAAAATGGCAAACAACATACACTAATACACTTCATTCTAGAGTGTATGTTATTCAAGTAATACCTAGCATGACTGAAAGATTAAAAAAATTAGTGTGAGATAAGAGAAAAACACATCCATCATATATTTCATAACATTTCACTTCATCTGCACCCACCTTTCAGATTTATTTTGACGAATACATCCTTCAATGATTTCTTTCACTTCAGGATCAGTGACTTTGTTGAAGCTGGCTGGTTTTATGCCCTAGGAGAAGAAAAATAGTTTCCTGTTACAAATTAAACAATTAAAAGCCCAAATCAACATGACACTCATTAAATACTTTTTTTGAATTCCTATACCACATTGAAGGTTTAAATGAACAAATATACACATATAGTGTAAGTTTACTAACCTTGAGAAAGATTTTTGTTATATCCCTAAAGATAAAACTGAAAAACTTAATTATTATATACATCTCAGAGAAAGAAATGTAAATGGCAAATAAATGTATGAAAAAATGCTCATCCTTACTGATCATTCAAGAGATGCAAACTAAAACAGTGTTGAGATTCTATCTCACTATAGAAAGAATGGAAATTATCAAGAAATCAACCAATAATAAATGATGGAAGGGATGTCAGTATAAAGAATGCCTTTAAATTTTCTGGAGGTATAGACTGATGCAACCACTGTGGAAATCTGTGTGGGGATTCTTCAAAAAACTAAAATATCAAAGAGAACCTACCTCATGCTAACTACCAGGTTCTAGACATTTAATAACAAATTAATGCAGTTCAGACAATTCATAATGTTCCTATGATAACTGTGTTAGTTGCCTCAATCTGCTTGTTTTACATTGCTTTCCCTTTTAGCTTGTTAATGTTAGATTTTTAAAAACAATCCAAGTATTATTACAATTATTTAATAGAAAATTCCAAATTAAACTGGAAACACAAAGGTATGCAATAGTAATTATCATGGATTGAAGCAATCTAAGATCCACTTCAAGGCCTGTCACACTACCTAACAGTACACACAATTGAAAAGTTTAGTATCATATGCTAGATAAAGAAGCTATAAAAGAACAATGGAAATATGAATTTTGACATGACATTATTGTGACTTTAATATAAAATAATAAAGTCATTAAAGACTGGAGTTGTATTACTGTATTTATAGAAGAAGCTCTCTTAGGAATATACTAATAAATCTGATTGGAGGAAAAAAGAGGAAGAAGCTCTCTTTGACCTTTCCACAGACCTTGTATCCATTTTTGACCCATTTTGTGCCTTTTTTCTGCTCCTAATGAAAATAACTACAAATTATAACATACAAATCAAGTACAAAATACTCTTCTACTTAGAGCTATCCAAAACATGAACTCAAACTAAAAAAGACATTCTAGCTCTTTTTTCTAAGCTAATTCATTCATTCATTCATTCATTCATTCATTCTTTTTGATAGTACTGGTGATTTAACCAAGAGTATTTATACTTAACTACATCCTCATCCCTTTTTCAATTTTTTATTTTGAGATGGTGCCTCACTAAATTTCTGAATTGCCCAGGCAAGACTCAACTTGTGATCCTCTTCCTCAGCCTCCAAGAGTACTGAGATTACAGGCACACAGCACTAAACTCAGATTTTTTCCTGAGCTCACTCAGAAATTTGCAAACTTATAGTGCTAAAAAGTAGAATAATAAGCTATGTGCAGTGGCACATTCTGGGAGGCTGGGTGACAGGCTCTCAAGTTCAAACCCAGCAAGGGTAACTTGAGGAGAACCTGTCTTGAAATAAAAATTAAAAGGAAAAAGGGGGCCAAGTATGTGGCTCACTGTGAAGTCCCTAGGTTCAATCCTCAGTGCCAAAAGAAAAGTTGAATAGTATAATCAAACCTAACATAACCATCACCATCTTAATTATAATGACCAGGTTGTCAACCTTGTTTCAGTTATCAATCTGCGTATCTTTTGCATCCTGGGTATTTTAAAGCAAATCTAAGGTATTGTGTCCCTTCATACATAAATTTTTCAGTTTACAGCTCTAATAAAGACCTTTTTAAACAGAATCATGTAATTATCCCACCAAAAATGATCGTGAATAGTCTCTTAACACCATCTAATACACAATCCACACTCAAATTTTCAAAATTGCTTAATTGATGTCTTCTTATAATTGGATTGTTCAAATCAGGATCCTAACAAAGTCCATCCATATGCTAGAGACGGCTCACAGCAACTCATAGGAAATTGTATTTTCAGGAATTTTGCAAGCCAACTGGTAAACACAGCCATTTCTTAAAAGCTAAATTATGTAAATGTATAATAAAAGACAAGCAAATACTGAAAACATCATTTCCTATTTTATCATTGTTCATGCATTTCAGATTATTTACAGCTAATGTACATCTGTGATAGAAATAACATATAAAGAGTGCCATTGTGTATCCCTTCCCAACTCTGGTGTGAGCTCCTACCAGTAGCTTGATATCAGCCACAACAGGAGTATTTATACCACAAAAAAATCACTAAATACTAAGAAGCAGTGCTTTATGTTTTTCAGAGCTCTGTTAAAAATGTATCAAGCTCAACACTACTAACTCTCTTATAATGTATAAAAGACGTCCTTGTCCTATAGCAAGAAATTACTGTGTTGAGAAAATTATGTCATTTTTCCTAAAGAATGTACAACATTCTGGATTTTGCTGTTATGTCTTATTATCTCCCTTTACAAACCACTAGAGTCAGACAGCTTTAAGGTCAAAATCCACCATTATCAGTAACTGTGGAAATCTGATCAAGTCACAGTGTCTGATTGCAAGTTATCATCTATAAACTAAAGATTTTACCTTTCTTGCAGGGATTGAAGACTGAAGTATGTCATTTACGGCATGCATTAAAAATGACACCCCTGCCAGGCATGATGGCGCACTCCTGTAATCCTAACACTATGGAGGCTGGGGCAGGAGGATCGATACAAGTTTGAGGTCAGCCTCAGCTACACAGTGATCTCAAGACCAGCCTGAACTACACAGCAAGACTGTCTCAAAAAACAAAAGGTATCCCTTCATACCTATTATAATGTCTATTATTTAAAAAAATGACAGATAAGTATTGGTGAGGTTGAAAAGAAAAGAGAACCCTTAATGACACAGAGTGACAGAACAATTGTCTCAAAAATGGGACCCTTATATACTGTTGGTGGAAATGTAAATTAATGTAACTAGTATGGATAAGATATGAAGACTCCTCAGAAGCAAACGAAAACCCCCACTGAAAATAGAACTACTGCTGCAAACCAACTATTGGATATACCTCTGAAGGAACTAAAATCAACATGTTGAAAAGATATCGAATTCCTGTGAAGTTTATGGCAGCACCATTCACAACAGTCAGATACAGGAACAACTTAACTGTTCATCAATAGATAAATGGAGAAAGAAAATATGGTATTTGGCATATAATAGAATACTATTTCAGTCTTAAAAAAGAATAAACTCTGTAATTTTCAATAACATGTATGAACTCAAGAAGATATTATGCTAAAGGAGCCAGGGACAAGAAAATAAATATCATATCTCACTTATGTATAAAATCTAAAAAAAGAATGATGGTTACCAGAGGCTGGGGCAGGGGGTGGTAAATAGGAAACCATTAATCAAATTAGTCTACATTGCAGTTAGACAAGAGAAGTTCAGTATGTATTATACAACAGTGACTATAGTCAATAATAATATATTCCATATTAAACACAACTTAGAAAGTAAATTTCTAATGTCTCAAAACAAGACAATTAGCAAATGAGGTGGATGTTAACTAGCTTGATTTAAAACATCTCTTTGTATCCCATAAATGTTTACAATTTTAATCGGCATATTTAAAGTAACATTAATTTTAAAGGGATATTAAAAACATTACCTATTTATAACAGTGCAAAATGCTAACAATTTCAGTCACGGCCTACCTTTGGCCACTAAACTGTATAAAATATATTCCACTCAACAATAATAACCTTCTATTTCTACATTTTATACTTATTCATAAATTTGTCAATCATCTACTAGAAATGTAAGCTTCAGGAGGGTAAATATACTTCTTATTCATCTTCACATTCTTTGTAATTTCTTTTATTTTTATTTTTAATTAATAGATATTTTTTTTGAGACAGAGTCTCTCCCTATATAGTCCAGGCTGAATTTGAGGTGATCCTCATGTCTCAGCCTCCCAGGTGCTGGAATTACAGGTGTGCATCACTACACCCAGGTAATTGTTACTAGTACATATTTGCAATATGTAATGATTACATTAATCATAGGAAGTTGGTACATGAATATAAACATATATTAATTCTTTCTACTTTCCCTTTCACCCTCCTCTACACCTGCTCCGTCTATCTCTTTGTCTTCTTCCCATCTGCAAAAGGTCTAATCTTCCTCCTTGTAACCTCTAACACAAAAAATGACTCATAGCAGTGGCTCAAATATAAGGCATAATCAACATATATAGTGAATTTTTACAATTTTTAAAAAAGTATTATAGGAAAAGAGGCATTGGAATTAATCTTCCTCAAAATACTCCTTTTTGTTTGAACACACCTATCCTTAATGTCACTTTCTGAGCCAGCCGTGGTGGCGCATGCCTATAATCCCAACACTGGGGAAGCTAAGGCAAGAGGATTGTGGTAAATTCAAGACTAGTCTAGCTTACAAAGTGAGCTCAAAGCCAGCCTGAACTGCACAGTGAGACCTTTCTCAAAAAGACAAAAAAAATGTCACTTTCTGAGGCAGTTCTGGAGGTTCTCATTACTGAGTGTCTTTATGAGTATGATAAAAAAAATTCAGTGAATACTGTTGCCAAATGCCACCCAATGAAAAGGAATATTTGTAAAAAAAAACTACTTATTGTGTGTGTTTATCCACCTTATATACCAGATCTTGCACTGTGTAACATTTAGCTCTTCTCAAAAGTCAAAATAACCATGAAATGTAAATATTTTAAAGTGATTCAGGACATTGAGGCAGCCACAATAATGCAACCAACTAAATAAAGGCACTCACGAAAGAGGACTTTCAGAACTGCTTCAGAAAATGGTAAAAATGATGGGATAAGTGTTTTCAAAGCAAGGGGAAATATTTTGAGGGAGAATAATAGCAATGTGTCCTTTACTATAATAACTTTTTAAAGTATTCACTAGTTTTTAATTGTGTGTATACAGAACTATACTTTGAATGTCCTCTCATAATCAAGACTTTTAGACCTATTAGAAATCTTCAAAGCCTTTTAGACAATTCCCAGTATTTAGCTCTGAAAAATACAGTTCATCTAATAAGTACCTAAAAATTCACTAGAAACAAATAAATATAGATGATATATCTGTACAATTTCCTCAAAACACTGATATAGATCATTTTATATATAGAGGGCAGATATATAGTATCAAGCTTGTCACATTACAATGCTAAGCTGTTACAGTTACATAAACTGAAATTAGAGGAATTTTGTGAGGTTTTTTCTTTCTTTCCTTTCTTTGCACGCTTACCCATGATTGACAAATACTGTACTACTTAAAAACATCCCTAGTCCCCAAATTAGGCTTTACTAAGTCAATTTTACCACTTCAACAAGAAATGTGGCAATTTGTGAAGTTAAACAATAAAATTATACCTACACTGGTTACTTTACGGTATATCTGAGCTGCATTCTGACACTCAGAATAAGGGTACTCTGAAGTAGCCATTTCTAGCATACACATTCCAAAAGCATAAACATCAACAGATTCATCGTAGTGCTCTTCATACATCTCTGGAGCCATAAACTCAGGAGTTCCTACAAAATAATTTTCATTAAAGAGAAGAATATATCCATCAAGATTCCTTTCCCAAACAATACCTGTGTTAATTTCTAAGTATAAAATTTGTATTATAGAATTAATACAAAGCATTAAAGAATTTCTATAACTCCCCATACTGATAAAGTACAATTCGTAATGCTCAATATTAGGTTGCAAATAATGTTTTTATTTCTATAAATTTTAGTCCATATTTTTCTGAATTAAATTAGTAAATTCCCTTCCTTAAGTCCTTGGAAGTTTATATACTCCTCAAAATAAATACACTAAGATGTCTCTGAAATAGGTCAAAATAAGGTATTTCAAAACATATTCAATCTATGGCAGGGGTTCATAAATTTTTCTGGGAAGAGATACTTTTGTACTTTGCAGTCCATAAGAACTATTCAACTCTGTAGTGCAAAAGCAGTCATAGACAATCCATAAATGAGTGGATGTGGCTGTGTTTCAATAAAACTTGATTTATAAAAATAGGCATTGAGGAGCTGGGGATTTAGCTCAGTGGCATAAGTACCTGCCTTGCAAGCAGGCGGTCATGAGTTCGATCCCCAGTACCGATAAAAATGAAAAAGACAAAAAAAAAAAAAAAAAAAAAAAAAAAAACAGGATTGAGCCAAATCTGACCAAAGAGCTATAGTTAATTGATCCCTGTTCTAGAACTATACAATAAATATACCCAAGGAGTAAACAATAAATTGTTAATCACCAATGACACTCTTAGCAAATGATGTGCGCATTAAGGTAGCGAGTCCTAGATCACCAATCTTCACAGATCCAGTAGGTCCTGTGATGAATATATTGTCACACTTCAAATCCCGGTGGATAATAGGAGGAGTCCTAGTGTGCAGGAACTGCAGTCCCTTTAAAATTTGCCTGCACCAGCTCCTTAAGACCTTTGGTTTCATGACTTTAAATCGTTTTAAGTACCTATACAAAGAAACAGAAAACCATGTGTAAACAAATATTCCCTTCTTATTGTATGAGCATTGTTATGGTAAATCACATATGTAAGCTGAAATTTTACATACTATGACTACAATCCCTGAGTTTTCTAATATCTATTATAGAAAAAAAAATTTAAACCTAACGCCCATACTCAGATAGACATCCAAATTTTCTGTGACAGGGAGGCTCAATTTCAGTTTAACATATCCCAAACTCTTAAAAAAAGTTTGAACTTCCCCCAAAAAGACATCTTATCAAGTATATTGTTTTGTTTTGTTTTGTTTTTGGAAGTTCTAGGGATGAACTCATGAACATTAGGCAAGTATAGCATTGCACTACTGAGTTACATCCCCAAACCATTTTTTAAAAATCTTCCAGTACTAGGGGATCAAGCCCAGGGGCTCTCTACTACCAAGTGAAATTCCAGTCTTTTTTATTTGTTTTCTTAATTTTGAGATAGTGTATCACTAAGTTTCCTAGGCTGGCCTAAAATTTTCAATCTTCATAGCTCAGCTTTCTGAGTAACTGAGTTTACAGGTGTGAGCCACTGCACACAGCAGCTATAACATTTTTAATTCATACAAGTATGATCCTTTGGAATAAAAGTACAATTTAAGGAGAAAGTCTTGATTTACTTCCTAATAATTACTCATATATAGTTACAACAGTGGTTGACTATATAAAATGTAGCACAAAACTGCTAGGAAATGAAAAGTATATCCCACATTCAATTATTTACAACTCACTATCCTATCAAATGAAGAATTGTGACCAGAAGCAAAAGACTACAATTATATAGTATTGCTCACTAGATTTGTGAACTTGGGAAACTTCCTATTCGTTTTCTTTCATGAGATGAAAATATAATGATTTCCAATACTGAAATTCAATGATACATCACAGATACTAAATTTTTAGTACTATAACAAATTTCAGTAACATTTTTTTGTGGTACTGGGCAGTGGTGATGAACTTACAGCAGATATGCCATAGGGCTGATTTGTATCACTGAAAGCTCTAAAAGATTCACCATCACTGTTTAGGGGCTTTATCACTAAGCTACATCTCCATTCTCATGCTCTTTTTATATTTCTGAAAAAGAGTCTTGCTACATTGTCAAGTTTTTCAAGGTAGGCTTGAATCTGTGATCTTACCACCCCGGCCTCCCAGAGTACTGGGATTACAGAGTACAACACTACAGCCAGTTAACATTCTAAATTTTTAACATTCCCTGAAATAAATTCTATAAATTCTTTAAGCAAGTATTAGTTTATTAGTAACTTTTATGTCTCCTGAAAATTATTTACAAATAAAACTTCATTGACACTATCATGATCAACTTACGTCTTTAAGGTTCCTGATGTCATTAGTTCAGTCACTAACACAATACATTTTTTTCCTTTTAAGACAGACTCCCAAGAATCATAAAATCGAACTATATTAGGATGCTGGAGACCTTTCAACATTTCTGCTTCTTCCTTGAACCTTTGCTGCTCAGCTTTGGTTAACTTCCGGTCCTAAAAATGGGAAAAATAAGTTCAAAATTAAAGTCATACAAATTTTCATATGCATTTCTAACACCAGTCAATTGAGTGCTTTATTGCATATATGCATGTATTTTAATTTATCATTTATTTTGGGGAGGTCTATGCAATGAATGGTATCCTTTATTAGACAGTTACTCTGACTCTTCCTACAAGGCAATGCAACAGTTTTAACATTTTGTTTAAAGTACACTATAAACTTTCCTACACAATATATCAGTTCTCCAGGAGGGGAAATGTAGACTTTACCTAGCAAGATTTGATACAAAAAGATTTTGGTGTAATCCTCAAATCATAAAAGAAAGTAATAAATTCCACAAAAAAATCTCAAAATGAACTGAGAAAAAGTAATAAAACAGGTAGCAGGGATGCTTCCCTAAAGAATCTCTAAGTTTTCATATATAAAAGAGCTATAAAGTCAGGGCAAGAATAATAAAAATCTAGACACTTGGACATTTATTCTGGTTTACTTTCTGAATTGCCAAAATAAAAGGGTCTAGGTTTCCAAACATAAATATCAGGCTAGTAACCAATGAAAGAGCTTCAAATAGGTACTAGACCTCCAACATACTATATTAAATGCTAAAAGTCAAAGGAGAAATATTTACAGAATTCTGAGGAAGGTCAATGACTTAAAATTCTGAATTCAATCAAGTTCTCAATAAAGTTCAAAGGGGAAAAACATCTGTATTTCCAGATAATAAGGACAGAGAAAAGTATTCCAATCCCATACACTGCCTGAACATTACTCAAGTAAGTTCAATAACAACATGGCATTAGAAAATACAGTCAACCCACTTCCTTTCACTGCATGAGCTGTTTCTGCTCTGCAATGCCCTCTACCATGCTGACCTATCTTAGAACCAGTCAACTATGGACTGAAACTTCTACAAAATAAACCTTCCCTCTTTAGGAAAAAAATTACAATCATTAGAAAAATAAAGTGTTAGGCTGGGCATGGTACCTGCAGTCCCTGCTACTTAGGAAGCTCAGGGAGGAGGATCATTTCAGTTCATGAGTTTGAAACTACGCCAGGCAACACAACAAAATCATTTATCAAAAAAAGGTGTGACACAAAACAAAACGTGAGAAATGATCAACAACATTTATACTTAGGAGTTAAATCTAAGTAATAATGGCTAAAATACTATAATTGGTACAACTGAATGAGTTTTCTCAGCATTAATTAATAACACATACATCATTCTAGATAGCTAAGGCAGGAGGACAGAAAAGTCTAGCCTGACAAACTTAGCAATACCCTGTCCTAAAATAACAAAACAGAGGAGGGAGTTGGGGATGAAGCTCAGGACAAAGAACCTAGGTTCAATAACTAGTACTTGAAGATACATTGATAGATTTTACAAAAAGGATATTCTTTGTGTACTTATGTGGGCAGATCTCTCAAACATGCCACTGAGTGACAAAAGCAATAAAACTTTGACACTTATATAAAAAAGCATCCTCCTGAACAATGCTATATATTTTGTATACATTTAAATGGATTTTAAAGAAGACTACATGGATAAACAATGTGTAACTGTAGTTGTCACTTGAAAACTAGGGAAAGACTGACACACAAAAGTCTTTTTCCTCAGATGACAATCATAGTTACTCAGCAGTAGGCAAATCTAAAATTTGGTCTCCTAAAACCATTGTTTGTGTGTGACTTTTTCATTCATCTAAAATTAAATGTCGAAACTGAAGTATTTTTTCTAAGATTCAGACATGCCCAACCTGTGGGATACCTGCATAGATGAGCCACACTGAGTAAAGAATATACATTTAAAACATATAATTCAATGTAAGTGCCAGGGATATAGCTCAGTGGCATAAGTGCCTGCCTGGCAAGCACAAGGACGTGAGTTTGAAACCCAGTACCAAAAAAAAAAAAAACCAAATTGACTGTAAGTCAAAAAAGTTAGTGATAACTTACTTTTTATATTTTTATTATAACACAGGCATCTCCAACACAATATTGTATACATTATACCATAATTTTTAAAGAAAAAAAAGGATAAAAATACAGAATTCCAAAAAATAGGAAATCAACACTAGTTAATACACTGCATATTACTATCTTTAAAATAGTTGTTCAGATTACAAGATTTAGGCATCAAAAATGATCAAACAATGAAAACTAAAACTGTTATAGAAGCACAATTTGTAATAGCTAAATCTTGAAAACAACCCAAATGTCCATCAAGTGAGGAATGGATAAAAAAAGATGTGGTATTTTTATACAATGAAGTACTACTCAGCTATAAAGAAGGACAAAGTTGAGGCTTTTATTGGTAAATGGATGCAATTTGAGACTATACTCTTAAGTGAAATAAATCAAACTCCCATGTGTAAATATCATATTGTCTCCCTAGTTTAAAAAACAAAAATAGAAAGAGTAATAAGATCCAAAATATACAACAGACATTATATAATATTGTTTCCATTTGTACTACATTCTGTACTAATCTATTCCCACATCACAGTTATCACAATGTTTGAAAAATAGTGATTCTGGTATGTGAAATAATGTAAAACATATCACTTTCTTATTCTTATTTTCTTCTCACCTATTTATAGTCTACACAGACATAAAGATTTTATTTCCAATAAAATTTAGAAAGAGTCATTGGAGGCCAGGTGTAGTTCCTTTTACTTACAGTTTCTTTTTTGTCCTTCAGACGGGATCTTATAATGTAGTTCAGGCTGGGTTTAAACTGACTATGTAACCCAGGTTAGCTTCAAACATGATCTTCCTGCCTCAGGTGCCAAAGTGCTGGGATTATAGGTATGCGCCCTCACACCAGGTCTTAACAGTGTCTTTTATAGAGTAGAATATCTTAATTTTGATGAAATCAAATTTATAAATATTTTGATATGAACCATGCTTTTGTATATATCTAAGAACACTACCCCTAACCAAAGGTCACAATGATTTTATTGTTTTCTTCTAGAAATTTAAGTTTTACTTTTAGATCTATGATTCATTTTGAGTTAATTTTCCTGTAAGATATGAGATTTATGTTGAGATTCTTTTCGTAAAAATTCACTTGTCCAATTATTCCAGGAGCTTGTGTTGAAAAGGCCATACTTTCTATATTCAATTGTCATTGTACATTTAAAAAATCATTTGATCACATTTATCATCTATTTCTGAACTCTGTTACATTCCATTGATCTCTGCTGTGTTCCATTGTTTCTTTGCCAATACTATAAATGTCTTACTTTTGATACCTTTAGAGTAAAATCAAAATCCGTTAACACAAATCTTCCCCACCTGGTTCTCCTTTATCAACATTATTTTGGTTCTTTTGGATATTTTTTTGCTATTCTTTAATAATTTCATTCATTTAGTTAATTTTTGATTCTAGGAATTGAACACACACTCTACCATTGAGTTACCTGCCCAGTGTATTTTCTCGTAATAAATTTCTTTATTTGCTTTTCAGATCATACTTGAGGGATTCTGAGTTGACTTTTGCTCTGTTGTTCTGAGTCAATCACTGCTCTGAAAAAGTCAGTGCCATCCTGTATCACAGAAGAAATCAGAAACTTATATTTTCCAGGAATGCATTCAATCAGCAGCAGGAGGAGATGAAGTTATTTCTCCCATATTTGTACTGCTGTTTTATCTTACTGATTTTGCTAAAATAGCCACAATATTAAAAACAAATATAGTAATAATAATCACTATCTTACACCGGACTTTCATAAAAAGTTCTATTATCTTATAGCATAGACTTTCCTGGCTTTTGCTATTTTTCACAAATAATTAAAACAAAGAAATTTCCACAGGGTGTAATGGCACATGTGTGTAACCCCAGGACTCAGGAGGGTGAGGCAGGAGGATCACTATAAGTTCAAGACAGAGACCTAAGGAAGCAATTTCCATATATTCATGTATTATTTTTATTTTAAAATTATAAATAGTTTCTGTAGGGGCCAGCCATATAGCTGAGCAGCATAAGCACCTGCCTGGCAAGTGCACGGTCATGAGTTCCATTCCTGGTCCTCTGACACCACGAAAAAAGAAAGAAATGGTTTCTGAATTTTATCAAACATTTTCTTAGCACCTAGTGATATGATCATATGGTTTGTTGATAAGTTTCCTGATGCAGGACTGTTCTTAAATTGGGGGGGGGGTGTTTTTTATAGACTGAAACCAGAGCCACATTTATGCTAGGCAATCTCTCTATTATTGTGCTGGACCTCAGCTGTTATTTTCAAATTCTTAAAATAAAATACAGGGCTGGTGATATGGGTCATAATGGGCAAGCACTCTATTCTTGAGCCATACCACCAGGCTGTCTGTTTTTTCTCTTTGGGGTTGTCGAATCATTTTTCATAGAACCAACAACAGTAACTTCTTTACCCTACTATTTTTATGCCCTTAACTTTATTTCTTCCTTAGAAAGATTTTTAAATTCCCCTTTTCCTCCCTTTTGCTATCATTTTTCTAGTATCTTAAAACTTCAATTCCTAGCAATGACAAACACCTGTAATCCCAACTACTCAAAAGGCTGAGACAGGAGTAACGCAAGCTTGAGGCCAGCCTGGGGTATTAGTAACACCTTATCCCAAAAGGGGAAAAATAAAAAAGGACTGAGCATGTACCCCAGTAGTAGAGAATCCCTGGGTTTAACCCCCAGTACCACACAAAAAAATTCCTTTTTAAAGGAAATAAAGTCTTATCTTCCCATCAAATGAAGTTTTTTGATTCTAGCATTCAATTGATCTGTATTTATTCACATTTTTTGAACTATTTATGTACTATTCTGAAAAAAATATATGTAAACTTTTTCCACTACAACTATATATTTATCCTTTTTAAAATCAATCAGGTGTTGTCTTAACTTTTCTCATTGCTGAGAAAAATACCCAAAAATCAAGGGGGAAAATTTTATTTACTGCACAGTTTGTAGAGGTTTCAGTTGATAATCAGCTGGCTCCAAGGTAGACTGTTGCATGGCAGA